TAGCAGGTAAAAGCCTCTGAAATGGACTCTGACGAATTTTTGCGGGATTCTCCTCCTTTCCCACCCGGTTTTGGATACGGCAGTGGCAGAGTTTTCATGCTATTTTTCAGTACGATTACCGAAATGCATATTACTCCTCAGTATAGTTCCTTAGTGAATCAGCTTCTTAGACTGTGCGTGTTCCCGTTTTGGCTTTCTTAGATTTATTCCGTGTTAACAGTTTGTATTTTAAGTACATTTCATTAATATCTTTCGTTTTTACGTCTGTTAATTATAGCTGTGGAATACGGCAAAGTTCAGCCCACAATGCCTGCGAGCAAATCGGCATCGAAGACTAGTTCCAACCCTTTGGACAAACTCGACTGTAAACCAATTTTGCATGTGAGCTTGTTGAAAAGTTTGATGAATTCTGAATTGCAGTTAACGATCCGGAATTTGTTAAAGGCGTTAACACCTTAGCTGCTCTAATTGGAATTAATTGTCACTCGGATCATTTGGTTACTTTGCAGGTGAGGTTTAATTTTGTTTACAGATAATGAAAAGATTGACTTGAAGTTGCATTTCTAATTTCAGGCCGTGGTGAAAGTTGTAGTTTCAAGACTTTCCAACTCAGCGGTACAACAGACCTTGAGCTCTAAAGAAACGATCTCAGCAGTAAAATCAAATTCTTACTTTTGTTCGAATTGATTATTATTGTTTTCAGTTGATTTTTGAATTGTGAAAGGTTTCTTTTGGTTTGATATTTGTTTTTCCGTCCACAAAGACATTATTCAATCCCTAAGTCGATCTTGACGGTAGTATCGGTTTAAGGGAGAGAAACAGAAATTTGGCTGTGAGCTATTTCGCTCTGTGTCGATGAGACTTTTAAGATCGTTTTAAACAGCGCCATTTCGATTGCAGGCTACTGAAGGTAGTTCATTCAGTCAGTCAGTTTCGATGAGGCAGACAACGACAGATAGTGCCTGTGTTCGATCCTGATCCTGTGCCAGCATTTGAGCTTCAGCAGAAGATAATCCCACCCAGGAGCAGAGACCATCTATGCACACTTGCTCCAGGCTATTTTATGCCTGTTTAGGTCTTCAGTCGGTCGGTTGAGCAAGTAATAGCTGTTTGTCATTGCTTTCTGAAACCATTCACAATAAGTGCCCAGGTTGTCGCAGTGCCTCGTAATTAGTAAACTCCATTTGTTCAGTGTGAATGACTCTCTGACTTCTAGTCTATATGTTCCCTGATTTCTGGCGTCTCCAACTTATTATTTTAAAAAGGATGAGGAAATGTCGGGCTGAACTAATGCACTAGAATCTTCGCTTCCCTCAATTGTCCCTAACCTTGGTTAGAAAATGCGAAACATACTGGATAGAAGATCGTATGATTTAAAAAAAGGAGTTTCTGACCGTTGGATTGTCGATCTGCCTTCATTTTCACGACTGAACGATTTTGGCGACCTTCTTTTTATGAAATTGACGTTGCGATGTTGTTTTCCGTTTTTATGCCATCAGCCAGGAGTGCCTTATTTTAAAGGTGGCGTGTTGGCACAGTTGTCTATGAGGTCTGCTTCGAATTCCCGAGGTGTCGGGTTGGATTCTGTTTGAAACAATTTTCTCTTATTCAAGAATTCCTTTCAGCATGGAATTTATCACACACTGCTTCAGACCGCGATTGTTCAGTCGACAGGACGTCGAAGCCGATAGTCCTGAATATCAGTTCCCCACTGTGGGAACTCACTCTCTTCCTTTCAAGGTTCATAAATGACTATCGATGTGGGAAGGAAGCAGTGACTACACTCTATGCGTGCTACATTGCCTTAGATTTCGCCTTAAAAAATATGGCATTTCGCTGATAGCATAGAAATGGAGATCAGCACCACACCATAAAGTTCATCAAACCAAGGATGCCAAAATAGCCCAGTCGTGAAAGTGAAAGGAGACCGGAATGCCAACGTTGACTATTTCCTTACTTTACAATTATTTTATAGCCATTGTGTACAACCATGTGACAAGCGCAGCCTATAGTCTCTTGTTTCCTTCCCGCTTTCTGATGCTCATTTATCAACTTCGGATGGGCGAAAAGCGAGCTATCCGGACCGTCGCCTAAACTCAGGCCCTTTCGGTTCTGAGTCTGATGTTTTACCGGCTGATCATCCTTGGTCTGAAGCAATATGTAGTAAATTCCGTGCTGAAGAAAATTCATGAATAAAACAAAGATTTTCTTTGAGGGGAATCGAACCCGGTGTTTCCGGTGTTTGTAGCAACCCTTTTAAATTACTGTTCCAACATGCGGCATGGTTTGAACCACTGACAACTTGTACTATATATTATCGTTCAGAATATAATCCCTCCCTATCGTTCTGGAGTGAAACTCGCGTTATTGAATCCAGACCTATTATGAGTAATTTTTATCGCATTACTGCTTAAGCCTTTGCCTACGTCAAATCTACGTCGTAAGCTTTAACTTACAGATAGCAGTGTTAACGCTCTGACATAAATTTTGGCTTAGTAGTAAAACAGCGGTGTTACCGGCTCTAATTGA